AGCTTGCCCCAGACCCTCATGATCTCATGGCTCCTGACTGAGGGAGCAACAGAAGGAAATATGACCCTATGTTTTGTGGCATGTTGTGGGTAGCGGCAGCAACGGTGTGTGGTTGCCATGGAAAACACCAAAGAAATATGGTGAGGGGCAGGGGCTACTCTACCCATCTTTTTACCAAGTGATATCAAAGCCAGCTAGTGTAACACTGCAAGCTTCACGCTGGAACTGCTTGTTCAGACTGTTTTCATGTGTTGCCACAAGGAAAGTGGACAGGATTAAAGGTGAATGAGCTTTAACCAAGTTTCTGTGCATTTGTACTCATCACTGCAGCCAAGTTGTTGTAAATTCCTGCACTCAGTCCTGCTTTAGCTTCATTTGTGTCAGGTTGATAAATTGTTGGTTGTGCACAGGGAGCTTGGCTAACAACAGTGCATATACTATGACAGAATGTATGTAGACTAGTTTGTGTGGGTGAATACAAAAGATGCTTTAAGCAAACATGCCCATTGTGAATTATTTGTGGCCATGTGTATGTACAGTGTCTGAGATTGAGGACAGAGTGGGACATGATTTGAGAATGAAGAATGGCATGTTTGTGTTGAAGCCCAGCTTGTTTTCTGCCTCTGACCTCTGCTCTTGCTCTTTGATCTCCTGTCTCGGTCATGTCTCCTCCCAACATCCTCCTTTCTGTAACTTTGCAGCATTAAGTTTTGATACCCACTAACCCCAATGACCTTAAACATCGAATAACAACAGCGATCAAGGTGCTGCAGGTGGTGGCCACATTGAACACTTGTAAGACAGGAAATAAAAGTTGATTGTGAGTAGAATATTTGTGACTTGGCTGGAGTTTTGTATTACTTTTCCTTAATAAAATATTGCGTAATGAAATCGGTTCATTCTTTATGAATAACCCTGTATAAAGTAGATAGATAAATAAAACTAAATCTAAGGCACTTTAAAGCAGCAAATGAAGAGATAATAAAAATATATGAGAATGTATGCTACATGGGAGCTGTATATGCAATAGTCAACGGTGCATGTGCAAACTTGGAATGTAAACAGTACAGGTGGAATTACATGACATATTTCCTGGTAATAAACTCCTGTCAGCTGTTTAGGAGTCGGATGGCAGAGGAAAAAAGTTTTTAAGTCTAGAAGTCCTGTGTTTCGCACTTCTGAACCTCCAGCCGGATGGTAGAGGCGTGAACAGTCCGTGCTGGGGGTGGGTGGGGTCTTTGAAGATGGAGGCAGCTCTCCTCTGCACCCTGCAGTGGTAAATGCTCTGTAGAGAGGGCAGTGGAGTCCTGGTGATCTTCTCCACAGTGTTTACCACTCTCTACAGGCGCTTGCGGTCCATAGCAGTAGTGCTGCCATACCAAATGATGATGCAGCTGGTCAAGATGCTCTCGACGATCCAGCTGTAGAAATTGCTGAGGATCCTAGGCGACAGGCCAAACCTCCTCAGCCTCCACAGGAAGTATAGCCGTCGTTGGGCCTTCTTGACCAGCTGTGTGGTGTTAAGTGTCCAAGTGAGGTCCTCACTGATGTGGACACCCAGGTATTTGGAGCTGCTCACCCTCTCCACTTTGAGCCCTCGGATGAACAGTGGCTGATGAGATCTCCTCTCCTTCCTCATGTCCACTATCATCTCCTTCGTCTTGTCCATCTTGAGGGTGAAATTATTGTCCTCGCACCATGACACCAGACCGGCCACCTCCCTCCTGTAGGCTGCTTTGTCCCCACCAGTGATGCGACCTATCATTGCGGTGTCGTCTGCAAACTTAAGGATAATGTTATCCTTGTAGGAGGCGACACAGTCATAGGTGAACAGGGTGTAGAGGATGGGACTGAGCACACATCCCTGTGGGGTACCAGTGTTTGTAGTGATGCTGGTTGAAGTCCTGCCAGTCAAAGTCCAGGATCCAGTCACAGAGGGTGGGGTACAGACCCAGTGTGGACAGTTTGTGGGTGAGTTTGTGGGGACAACTGTGTTGAAAGCAGATCTGTAGTTCATGAAGCGTATCCTGATGTAGAAGGCAATAAATACAGCATCGGGGTGAGCTATCTCTAACGCACTGACATCATGGAGTTTGCCGAGAGCCAACATGGAATTAGCTCTCGGGGATATATGCATACACCAGCCAAAAACACACGGCTAAATTCTCCTGGTAGATAATGGGGATGGCATTTCCGCAATAAAAACTCCACATCTGGCGAACAGTGCTTATAGACGATGTGGCTGGTTTTGCATTAGCCCCAGCTTGTGACTTATGTATGGCATACACTGGAGTCACAGAGCTAATCTTCCATAAGCTTTCGCAATTGAAATGTGCTGAATGTTTTAACCCTGCGCCGTTTTACATCGAGATCCTGCAGTACTGCTGTTCCAAAGGATTGCCAGTATCCTGCCCTTGTGCAGATATTACGTCATCAAAATATAGCACTTGGTCCCGGACTGCCGGCTCACCTTTTCTGCACAGAGCGTGTTTCGCCTCTGGTACTACCTCCCAAGGCGGACCAGAGACGGAACGAAAATGGCCTGCCATTCCAGCTTTGCACAGAAAACAAGACGGAATAAAGATGCACCAATCCCGCCTTGAAAATGCGGTGTGTAAGTGGCTTGACTTTATGTGGCAGGGTGATGTTGTACCATGTTCGTTTTCTGCTCTGGCTTCATCAGAAATTGTTATACATTAAGTCTATAGTAAGCTCAGATCTGCAGAATTTTATAAAAGAAGGTAGGCCTGTTGTATATTTACTGCTGTCCAACTTGTAATCCAACTAACCTAAAGCCAAATAACTAAAGGGAAGAAAGTGAGGAAAAATAGTTTAAAACAAAGCTAACTAAACAGCAGTTACCTGTTGTCATTTACTGTAAAGCTAGTTTGTAGCGCATGATACAGAATAAAAGATTAATCGAGGAAAATAATCAGCAGATTAATCCCTAATGAAAATAATCAATTGTTGCACTTGGATACAAAATAGTTCAGCAGAGCCAACTACAACATTCAAGTCCTGCTTTTATATCAATGCATGAGTGATAGGCTGTTGATATAATATATAACGGTATAGGATAGATCGCATAACATTTTTCTGCATTGAGTAGCCCGCTTTTACTTTTAATACTTGAAGAACATGATAATACTTAATTTTGCCCAACATTTTCAATGCAAGACTAACAGAATAGGCTGCTTTTACAGTGTGATAGTACTACTTTTACTTAAGTAAAGGATGTGAATACTTCTGCTGGTGCTAACATGCAGACTTAACATGCTTTAGTTATATAACACATTAAATGCTTTTTTTTTTCTTTTTTTTTTAAAATCATGTTTATAATCCTGTTTTGTTTTTTTTGTTTTGTTTTTTTTTTATGGTCAATTTTGTGCTGCAGTTCAGCTCAGACAACTGGCACAGTCACATGAAATTAAAAAATTATAACCAAGGGCATGTCAGTGATTCTTAAATGACTGTTATACTATATTTTCACTTTTTCTAACTACAAATCAGCATAAAAATACAATGTTATGTCTATGTTGTGTTTTCAAATGGTTGCAAGTGGAAAAGAGGAAAGTGTTGGTCTCATTCTGTTGATGGTGTATACACATCTTTTAAGTGATCTTGTATTGCTTACACTACTGAACACTGGGTTTAAAGTTTGAATTTGTAGGTACCTCTTTCAGTATTATGTCAGAGCAATTGTAAGAGATTTTTTTTTCCCCATTTTAAACTGACTTTTTGTTTTTCTGCCTAGGCAAGTGGTGATAAGCTTGAAAGTGTGTCAAACACTTGAACATAGCAAATTTGGCATTTGAAGTCAGCATGAATGACAGATACAGTATGTCAAGATTGGACTGTCTTCTTGAGCTAATGGCAGCTATGTGGTTAAATAACATGAGCAAAATCTGTGACTAAATGTCCTTGAAGATTTCATATAGAGTCAAGAGTGCTGTAAAAGCTGATCAAGACAAGAGTTCAAACGGCATTGCTTCTGAAAAGCATCCGCATATTGTGATTGACACAGTAGATAGGAGCTGAACATCGATGGTTTTTTTTTCTTTCTGCTTCATGAAATATGAATGTTGGGAAAACTAGAGCCAATGGACAACACGGCAGGAAACTATGTTGCAGAAGTCTAGTCTGATGTGTATTACATTAGCAGCGCAGTAAGTGGCCTGAATGCAGTGATTAAGCATCTTTCATTATATGGACGTGGATAAGACATGCGCTTTCTGGTTTCTTCCTTCCCTACAACATTGGAGATGGCTGGCATAAAAACTTGACTGTCCTTATGAAAATTAGTCTGCCTCCTGTGAACTGATTTGAGCATATGTAATACTTGGCAAAATTGACAGAAACAGGCCAACACTCTGGCCAGTGAATAAAGATGTCATTGTAACACAATACGCTGCCTTTGTATTGCACTTAATGTATGTAAAGGAGCAACTTTACACATCAAGGTCTGTTTGCAGGTCCTGGGAAGTAGTACTACAGCATATGTTTGAAAAAGAAAGGTACTAAGCCTCTTTTGGTTTCAGAGGGAGCTGTCTGAGGTCTTAAAAATTACTGGAACCAGCCAGCCAGTATCAGGGTCTGAAGACTACAACTTTGAAAATGGAAAAACTTGGGTGTTTGGAGTTTGAAAGAAGTTACCATAACAGAACCAGACCTCCGTGGCCCCTCTTCATCTTTGATTTAGGCTAGCAGCTTGAGGCTACATTGAGTTGTTGTGTGTTGTGTTAGGGAGTACTATTTCTACATTGTACTAATGGCATGCTACTGTGTCCTTCACACTATTTAGCATCAGCTTTAGTTGTGCTTCCAAGCTGCACATCAGTAAGGATTGATAGGAAGGCTTCCCAGTTTCTTGTTTGCACTGAATTCTTCACACACGCTTGATCTTAGAGGTGTGATTGGTTGGTGTGACACCCAGACAGTATTTTCTAGCCTTGTTTCGCAGTTGTTTGTTTACCTTCTGTTTTCTTTCTCTCTCTTTCCAGAGGTCCCTACATTTCAAGAGAAGACGAAGGCCTTATTTGGAAATCTTATGGACGAAGGTTGGTGTTTGTTTATCTTGGTGTCTTCTATTCCTTCATCCACTATCTATACTGCTTACAGACAATTCAGAGTCACCAGTCAACCTAAGCCGCATGTCTTTGAACTGTGGGAGGAGAGAACCCACAGCCGGGGCTTGAACCCAGAACATTCTTGCTGCAAGGCGACAGTGCTGACCATTTGATCACCATGTTGCCGCCTATCTTCCACTGGTTTTTCATTTAGCCTTTTTGGTAAAATGTGTACACAGGACTCCATGTTGAACAGAAAATTATGAAGAGCCATCCTTTCTCTTTATGTTGCACCTTCTAAACACCCAGGACTGTGTGCTGAGTCACTGTTTGTGTCTGCTCTTGTTTCTGTTGTCATACTTCCTGTACATCCTTGACAAAGCAATATATGCTTATCACTCTCTCTGTATCAGTTTTGATGACTCCCTCTTTGTCTCCTCAGTCCTTCTGAACTTCTTCTCACACCTTTAATTGTAATTTTTGTTATAAAGGTTTTCTGGTGAGCTGCTGGTTCTCTTCTGTTTTCACATGATAAACAGTGAAATCCAGAAGCATTGTCAACTGTATTTAGCCTTTTCTAAGCCTGCTAACAACTACAGGTGCTAGTTCATGCTTGTTTGTTCTTTACCATTATCTTAGTGGTGTCAATTTTTTTAAACAAGTGATATGTTTATCTACCCCCCCACACACACGCACACGCACACGCACAAACACTCTCTTATCTCTTATCTAGGCATGATGCTACTTGTTGTAGACTTGCATGCTGCCAACTAGCTTTTGTAGCGGCTGTTACCCAGAAGTAATATTTAACCCACTAATTCAGTGTCCTCCTTAAAGTGCATGAAGCCTGTTTTTGTGTCTTTACTATAACCTGTCCTGTCATGTTGGTGATAGTTTGGGTGCCCAAATCCCAGCATTGTGTATATAGCGGGGCCAATCAGAGACGGTGTTGTAATCACAACAGAGCTGCCTTTTTCAGAGATTGCTGTTTACCAGTGAAAAGCAGTTACTGATTATCTTTGTCAGCATTCACATCTGAAGAAGACTAGGCAACATAACCTGCTGATACATAAATGAATCCCTCACAGTTGTAGTTGAAATGTTATGTAGTAATTCATTGAACATACAATGCTCAGCATAAATGAGTACACCCCAACAAATTTGTCAGAAAACCTTCACTTCCCTTTCAGAATCAACATTTTCTATGGGAAACTATACTGCAAAATACTCCCACAAATGCGGGCCAGTGATTGCAACCAAGATTTGTTAATGTGCACACACAAAAAAGTATTTTCCCTAACAAATTCATTCAAGACCATGTTGCAAAAATGAATACACCCCAATGGAAGTCTTAGGAGCAAAGCTAAATTTTAGACAACAAAATCCTTATGAACAAGAATTCAACTACAGGTGAGTCTAATTATTCATTAAACAGGTGTCCAGCAGATAGTTGGTTATAAAAGGGCATTATTTAACAAAGAAAACCCCCTACCATTTCACGCTGTCAGCAATGGCACCACATAGAAATGTCAAAGAAGGAAAATAATTTCTTTACACAAGAAAGGTGAAGGCTACAAGAAGATCAGCAAAGCTTTACTTCTCAGTCAGAATACTGTAGCAAAAGTGATTCAAAAATTTAACAAAGATGGAACTGCAACCATCTCACAGGGACGTCCAGGCCGTCCACGGATGTTAACACCTCGACGGGAGCAATGTAGGTGTAACATCTCAGGAGCTTCTCAACTCAGAGACTGCAAACCTGCCCCTTTTCCTAGCCTCCTGGTTGAGGTCCAGTGTTGATCTATTTCAGCAGAGTAGTTTCAGTCATACAGTAACTACTGAGTGAGCTGCAGTCTTTTTTGTTTGTTTGTTAGTTTGTTTTTTAGGTTTAACCCATATGTCCTTTTCAGGCTGCTTCTCCTGTTTAAGGACTGTTTGTTTTTGTTACATCTAGGTATTATTTAGCTGTTCCATCCAGTCTACACTGGGAGATTGACACATGGAGACTTCTCTCTCTCTCTTCTACTGACACTTGTCATCTCCTGCAGTTACACGCATAAGATGGCACTGCAGTGTTTATTTCTATAGCTTGACAGTGGTACCAATCAATCAGCCCTGGACAAATGTCATGTCAAACTTTTTAAATTTAATAATCAACTAAGTAGACTATTTTGTAACATTAAGCATGGTGATGGTACATTGACTGTTGTTTGTGTTAGACAAATGAATAAAGTATAAACAAAAAATACTGTGTAAGGTTCCAGCTAAGATTTCAAATAATAAACTGGAAGAGTGTATTTTAAGAGGAATGTCTGATTGAAAAATACACACGATTCATATTTGCTTCCTGATGACACATTTGTTCAATCAAAAGATCTCTTGGTAATAGCATATTTTGTAGCTGATTTGCCAAGTTAGTTAATGCCTATATAAAACTAAGTTATGTTAGATCTGTCAGTCCTGTGTGATAGCTGAGTGTGGCACTGGCCTTGGTCTAGGCAAATCGCCTAATTTGGTCCCATTGCTCTTACTGCTGCTAGCATCCTGGCTAAGATCTATTAATAGCTGCTAGGACATTATCTCTATCACAGCAGATGTGCTTACAGGCAGGCACAGTTGCAACAAGCTAATACTATGTCTCGTCAGGTCTGGGTCTTACCTCTGCATCTGGCACTGGTTTGCATGTCTGCATGCAGAGAAGCTTTACCCTAAGATGACTAATTTCAGCAGCTAAATATTTTCTGTTTAACACTTTAATTTGTTAAATAGGCAGAAGGTTGTTCAGATTCAGTAGACATGGCTAAAGGTTTGGCAGCATTTTGCTGGCAGGTGTTAATTATCCAGCTGTTGTATTTTCAGTCTATGACACAAGCCGAATCTAAACCTTGCTGTCTCATTCCTTCTCTTCTCCTTGCTCTCCCTTCCTGTCATGATCTCATTCACCCTCCCTCCTTTGCTCCATCTTCATTAGCGCTTCTTCTGGCCCCCTGCTTCAACATATACCTGACTCTTCTGCCCATGGTTTTCCTCTGCTCTTCTCCTTTCCTCTGCTCCTCAGGCCATCCCATGCTTTACCACAAACCTGTTACTAAGGCAACTGCACTGGATGACAGGAAGCAGCAGCTACACATTTGCATACCACATCTGAGTTCATTTTACTGTCTGGATATGCTCCTTTTTCTTTTAATATATGTGACCAAGAATGTCTGCAGCTCTGACTTGATGCTGGGGCAATAATAGACATGTTGAAAAAGGTAGGCCCTGACCACACAGCAACAGAGTGATAGACAGCAAACTGACACACTCTATTCGTTCCACATGCTTTTTTTTTTTTTTTTTTAAAGCATGTATACAGTAGATAACCAACAAATTGGTTTTTAAGCAATGTGGTCCCACACTATGTAGCCCACAGCAGTCACACAGACTGGGAAGTGTGGTAGGATGATTAGTGTACAGAGTTTGAGACAATTGGGTAGCCACACTGTCTTATGCACTGTCCCTGTACAGCAGTAAAGCTGTTTGGTATTGCATGATGATTCATTTTACATTTACGCATACACATTAACTATAGATGAGGATATATGTGCATCATGTAGCAGACATATTGTGCAGTAGCTTTTGTCTCTGCTTGATATTGTCTTGCTTGGTGTGGCTGGTGAAAGCATAGGAGGAAAAGGGGAGTTTGTGTTTGTAGCACCACAGGAAGTTGGTGAGGAGCTGTCACAGATTGAAGAGACAGATGTCAGCTGATGTTAAAAACTTGTTTTGAAATGGATTTGGTTAGTGTGACATCAAATTTTATTTTTGTTTTTTGGACTCTTCTCCAATGCACTATGCTCTGCTCATCCCAAAAGTCTGTGAGGCAGAGTTGAAACCGTTTGGGGTGAATAAAGCATAGCGCATCAGATTGTGTGACATTATAATGGATTTGATTTCAGACCAGCACTTTCCTCTCTCTGGATAACGCACACAGAGGTGTGTGTTATCCAGAGAGAGGAAATATTTTCTGACACCAGAAATATTCATTACAATAAGAATGAGCTAGTAAACATTCCGGTGCAACATGTGAAATTTAAAGTTTGATTTGCTCTGACACTACACAAAAAGTGTTTTTTCAGGAACTTATGATGACAATATTTGATGTCACAGTGACCTAACTAGGTGCAGCCAGTAGCATTCTCCATGTTGTCAAGCGTATCATCTGTCTCCTTTCCCCCTTTTGGGAGGCGACAGTGGTGCGGTGGGTAGAGCAGTTGTCTCCCAACCGGCAGGTTGAAGGTTCAAATCTCGGTGCCTATAGTCCACATGTCGAAGTGTCCTTGGGCAAGACACTGACCCCCCCCCCCTGTTGCCCCCGATGGTTAGAGCCATTGGTTGAGTTGGTGCCGCAGATGGCTGCCATCGGTTCTGTACCAGAAACAAATTCCTTGTGTGTAATATACTTGGCCAATAAAGGTGGTTATCCTTATTGCCCTCCTCAGTGAATTGCCCCTCAGCGTTGATGTAGAGTTGTCAGAGGCATACAGTCAGTCATAGATGGGCAGTGAGTAATTAAGAAGAGGTGTAAGAAGGGGTCTAGATCATTGACCTTACTTCTCTGTTCCGACTTTGTAAGTATGATTCAGTGGGATATGATTTGCTAAAAACTGCATCATACTCATCCCTCTCTCTCCCTTTTTCAGAAATGAGTCGCCAGACTGCCACCGCGCTGCCCACAGGAACCTCCAAGTGCCCCCCTGCCCAGCGCGTGCCCACCCTGTCAGGCACCACCGCCTCCAACAGTGACCTGGCCAGCCTGTTTGAGTGTCCTGTTTGCTTTGACTATGTCCTACCCCCCATCCTGCAGTGCCAGTCCGGACACTTGGTATGTGCAGTCCAGACTGGAAACGAACTGACCCTGTAGAAGAGCCAAAAAGCCATTTGTTTGCAGTGCATCTTAGACTTCATTGTGTTCCATTTGCATGCAGTTTAAAGTCTGCAGAGTTTGTGTGTTTGGTACACATGATTCTTAAAGTTAAAGACTTCTGAAATTAATATTGGAGTATAACATAGGTTGGCAACAGGAATGACCTGTGTACTATAAATGATGTTTGATACTATATTAAATTGGCATTGTTGAATTACTAACTGTGGAAGAAATTTGTGAAAAAGACCATGGGTTGCACCTTCTGTGATAGGCTTAGACATACATATGCAGATCACCAAAATGTAAATCTCTGTTTGACATTGTGCCACTGCAATGCAACCGAAAACCACAGGCTCTGTATTCCGTATACATTAGCTCTGGAGCTGGTTATTGCTCCTGCACTACCTGACTGCTATAACTGTTTCTGGCTGTTGTGACCACATGTGACTTAATTTCTTAAGACGGGGCAGAAAGGGCAAAGAGGAGCGGAGACCGAATAGGAGGGGATACTGCTTGAGTTTGTTTTGACTCTGGCTTTGCCCTTAATGGTTGAAAATTAGAGGGAGAACTTAGTTAATGCAGCTTTAAAATTTCTTTTGAATAATTTCAGACCTCTTTAGTTTTTCAGGTTAATTTCTACATTGTCATGACAGCTGGCTTAATTGTTCAGTTGTCATTTGTCAAGATATTGAATTACTGTGATATTAATCTAATCAAAGCTAATATCCATTCATTAGTATGTTCAGAGACCAGTTCTTATTGGATTACCACTCGATTAGTACTTACTCAGTATTTATAACCTAATCACCCTCGCTGAGTTTGGGAATACACATCTTTACACCCCACCTGAGGTTTAAAATTTAATAAGTATTTTTGATATGTTGTCAGTGTAAATTAAAGTTCTGTGTGCGGAACTGTTTTGATCATAAGTTGGCAAAGCAGGTCAGACAAACGGTTCTCAAAATTCTGATCCTAAACCTTAATAGTCATGTGAAAGATGCAGCCTGCACTCACATGGAAAAGGAAGTAACAGTATGTGTTCATGACACGTCTGCCAGATGAATAGGCTGATAAAGACCCGAATGTATTCTTTGACACATGTTGATCCTACTAACTTGGCCCATTTTTGTCACTCTAGAAAGGAAAGAACATTCATGAATCTTACGCCTATCGCTTCCTAGGTATGCTCCAACTGCCGGCCCAAGCTCACCTGCTGCCCCACCTGCCGAGGACCTCTGGGCTCTATCAGGAACCTGGCCATGGAGAAGGTGGCTAACTCTGTCCTCTTCCCCTGCAAGTATGCCTCATCAGGCTGCGAAGTCACCCTGCCTCACACTGACAAGACGGAGCACGAAGAGCTGTGCGAGTTTCGGCCGTACTCCTGCCCCTGCCCTGGCGCCTCCTGCAAGTGGCAGGGTTCCCTGGATGCTGTCATGCCTCACCTGATGCACCAGCACAAGTCCATCACCACACTGCAGGTCAGGCATTGATGTCTCTTCAGTGGTCTTTGGGGTATAGGTGTGGTTTAGGATAATTACTAGCTTCATAGCTAGAGACAGGTTTATGTCCATGTGTATATTATACACATTGCCATATACGCTCCCATCTTGAAAGACTGCTTTTGTTGTTTGTGGAATTGTCCTACTGACTGAATACTTTTTTTTTATGTGATTGTATTAGGGATTAAGCTGTGTGAGTTATGACTGGCTCAAAGTAAATGCCTTTAGTAGTAGTCTTCCTTTTCCCTCTCTTGGTCTGGTTTTGCCTTTTCATTAAGTCCACACCCAGACAGCTCAAATGCTTCTACCATTGTTTACACTTTCTAAGTTGCTGTAACAGTAGATGAGTTTGCAAAGCATAACTCACTGACTGTCAGGAAAAGAAATCATAACTGTGATCATAATGTTAAACTAAAGGGCCACTCCACTGATTTCAATGTGTTCATAAGGAGTATAGCCTATGAAAACATCTGTCTGTGTTCGGAGGGTCAAAAGGGACCTTTGTGAAATCTGAAAAATAACCCTGATACTGTCAAAAAGATGTGCATTTAACAGCCAATAGTCTAGGAAAAGAAGCAATATAGTTACATTTTTGGGAAATATAGCCCAGCCATTGCTGGTAATTTGGAAAAATTCGATAAGAATATCCCCTCACCAGCCACTTTATTAGGCACACCTGTACAGTTATATGCAATTCAGTGCAACACTTCCACCTTAACATCTTTATGAAGCTCAAAATGTTGATATTCAGAGGTGTTCCTAATGTACTGACCCTCTCATGTATGTTGTTGTGGAAGAACAAAAATATAGAGGTACCTCTGAATATGATGTAGTCCAGTACAACACCACCTTTAACTATGACCTCAGTAATAAACATAATTAAATTTATACCTTTATGACAAATTCACCAAAACCTGAAATATTCTGAGCTTCATAAACACAGATGTTAAAGTGGAAGTGTTGCATTGAATTGCATACAACTGTACAGGTGTACCTAATAAAGTGGCTAGTGAGTGTATAATATCTGAAATGAGATCATTGCTGCCGGTATCTCAGCCTTACCAGTTTATCTGTCTTGCTTAAATGGAAAATGTGGGGTGTTTCTGGAGACCCCAAAACAGGTCCCTCATACTAGGAGGGGAATATCTGTGTGACTGGCCATCTCACCCATCTACCAGTGGTCAGTTTTTGCTTTCACACACCATGTATCCAGATGATAATATGAAGGTATTTGAGCTTACATTTATTTAGAATTTATTGTACTGCACTTATGGAGGGTCAGTGTCTGTACTGGCTCAAGAGACTTCATTATACCGTTATTCTTTTGTAGTCTTAAGAAATGACATCTGAACTTTTACGCGGGTGTGTGTGTGTGTGTGTGTGTGTACGTGCTTCACTGTCCAGGGCGAGGACATTGTATTCTTGGCCACAGACATCAACCTGCCAGGCGCAGTCGACTGGGTGATGATGCAGTCCTGCTTTGGCTTCCACTTCATGTTGGTGCTGGAGAAGCAGGAAAAGTACGACGGCCACCAGCAGTTCTTCGCCATCGTGCAGCTTATCGGGACTCGCAAGCAGGCTGAGAACTTTGCCTACCGGCTGGAGCTCAATGGGCACCGGCGCCGCCTAACCTGGGAGGCCACACCGCGCTCCATCCATGAGGGCATTGCCACGGCCATCATGAACAGCGACTGCCTGGTGTTTGACACATCCATTGCACAGCTGTTTGCTGAGAACGGCAACCTAGGCATCAACGTCACCATCTCCATGTGCTAAGACCTTTGAAGAGGAGCTGGTCAAAAAAGTCAGATTGTCTGGGGGGCATTTATTTTAGGGGCTCAAATCAGGTGTGGCTTCACATTGCCTCCTTTCTGTGCCTCACCCCTTGAAACATGGAACTGGACTGTCTTAGAGGGCAGCTGTGGAGGCCCCGGGGGTGGGATGGATGGATGGATGAGTGAAGGAATAAATACCCACAAGGACTTAACTGTGTAGTGATGGCTATAGACTTCTAAATATACACATACAAGTGTGAGACTCATGCACGCACATGTAGTCTCACACTCTCTTGGTCATGAACAGACACAAACTGAAAAGCTGTTCAGTCAGACTCTTCTCACACTCTTGTTTCGCGGTTACGTCTCTCTCCGCTCGTACTTCAACGTCTCTGTGTTCCTTTCTGCCTCAGTCAATCCTCAGATATTTTAGACACTACAGAGGCTGGAGGCTGGTCAACCCTGAGCAGCCCTGTGATGTGACAGTTGCACACTGAGGAAGGCTCAAGCTGTTTTTCAACTACAACTCGTGGTTTGTGCTAGGTAGGTAACCAGCTATCTAGCTTTTCTTTCTGTTTGTAATCCACTTCAGTAGCCGTCGGACCTCCTGGATCAAACAGTTCAAACTTGCTACTTGATACTTGCATAGTTACGGCTGTGGCTGGTATTGACTAGCTCACAGTGAAACCCAGAGTCCATGAAATCCTCTAGTTACATTTTGCAGATCTGAGTGTTTCTCTTCACCTGTGACTGACATGGCTGTCGATGTCTGGGACTTGAGCCATTGCCCATAGACATGGGTGGCTGTAGCACCCATAAGCATGCAGTTGTGTTCAGACTGGAACCTTGTTTCTGCATTAAGGGCCCATGGACATTCATCTATATCTGGACTTAAAACATCCTTTGAGAGTCACCTGGTTTCCCTCCAGTCCTCACCGGTCCACCAGGATAAAAGCATTGAATGCAGTCTTCATAAATGGCCTGCCACCGATGAGTTATTAGACTCTGCACTCATGCTGTACGGAACTAATATGGCACCTCAGCTTCACTAGCCCCGTATTTTTTTTTTTATTTAAATACATATCATGAAGTGGACACAACGGGGGGTTCTCACACACACAGAAACACACTTGCATTACTGGTTGTGTGTGCAGGTGTGTTAGAGCCAACTGCAGTGAACTTGCATGACTTTCTTCATCCCTTATCAGAAGACGCTCCTGTCGAGGTATTGTGTGCAGGTGTGTTAGTGGTTGAAATGATTGTATGACAGAGCCCTTTTTTTGACCAAGGGACAGAGAGGCAAATTGTAATTTTTTTTTCCAAAATGAGGGGAAAAAAACACTGCATTTCAGTTAGTTTTTATTTTGAGGTGTAGTTAAATCTGGGTTCCCCCCCCCGTTGTTTTAGTTCCTTTTTGTATGAAGCAGAAAAACCCCTGGTGTGTGTGATGCACGTCTGGCAAGAAGCCTCTTTCTCTTTCCGTCGGTGGTCTTTCATTTCTGCTCAGCCTCCATTTCACTCTGTCTGCCAGCGTTGGCCTCAAACACTGTTTGATTGACCACTCAACCAGAAATGAGGACAGTTTCTGTCATTACAACATTGCTATTATTAAATGGAAATTATCATAAACATTTTTGTAGTTACTTTTAAAAACAAAAATTAAAAGGCATTTGTAAAACTTGTGGCTAAACTTCAGTGTTTGTAGTTAAAAAGAAAGTTGTTCTTCTGAAGCCCCCACCCCCCCAAGCTGGATTGTTTTTCCTCATGTATTTGTCTTCTTGTTTGTGTGGTCTTTTTTCCCCTCTCGGTTTGTCTGAGGAGGGAGGGAGGTCAAGTCACCCACCTCTCCTTTCTGTTCATGTGGAGTCTCAGTAATACTGCTGCTCTCCCTCAACTCCTAGACCTTTTTGTTTTAATTTGACATTAAATAAATCTATCTTTTTCATACCTGCTGTCTGTTTGTTTCTTAAATTCTTTTAATTTAATGGCTGCATCCAATTTATGTGGACTACTCAGTGGATTGTTTGTGGGGTTTTTTTGTTTTTTCTTTACATAACATTAGTTGAGTGGATCCCTGTTTTGCCACCTACAGGCACACACAGACCTCTTAGCAGTAGATCTTTCATTTCACTGACAGTCAGTGACACACTGAATGGAGCAGTGCAATCAGAAAAGCAGTGAAGAATGACAGGATGTAAACATATTGTAGGTAGGACATGCACTCAAGGCCATCTCAAAAATGTGCAGTGCATTTTTGAAAGCAACATTAAATGTAAACAAAACTGTTTACTCGTTTATTTACAAGGAAGCTCCACATGGCACCTTAAATATTTTTATTAGTTTCCATACAACCAGGCTGTGTATGATTGTGCGGCACAGCCCCCAGGTGTGAATGGGTTCATCTTCAAATACCTCATCGGTAGTCTCGGCAGATCTTTGATTAAATATGTTGATACTGCTAATTTCAGAGCCATTCATCATGAACCACATGAACAACTTCAGCTTTTTATTAAGGACAAATTTCAGTACTAAAGTTCAGACTCAGTGTTTGATGTTGTAATGTGAATGTTTGATCTGTTAAATCCCCCGGTGATAGTGTTGCTGAAGCATCTGTCAGTCTCCTGAGTTGCTTGTTGCTAAGTAGTTTTGTGAATGTAGGGCAGCCTGTGAGGTCAGGTACGTAGAGCAGACATGCAGGGTGGTACACAGGAATAACGCATGCAGCTGTAGGACCTCAAGCTATTTCCTTGCACCCAGCGCAACACTGTCAAAAATGTATATAGAGATGGCGGTGCTAGTGCCTTTGACCAGTCTCCTGTCTGACAAAAGTTTGGAAACGACCTCGTTAGGGACTGGAGGAAAATTGTTGGACTGAGGTAGGCTCAGAAAAGGGTGAGAGCTGTGTGAAATTTCTTATTTGTTAAGGTGATGTATTACATAACAAAGATGCTACCCTACATGAAAAACATTTCAAACAAATGTGAATCCTCACGTTAACTTGAAGGTCCAAATAATAAACGCATTCTCTGCTCACCCTTTCCTCAGTCAGAAACCATAGTCTGGTAGATCCAAGTCCAAGCACAGCTTTCAAAGCTGTAAAGATTATCCATTATGTCTCAAACTATTAAATTCTCCTTACTTCAGCACAGTGCCAGAGAACTTTAAGCCCTGCAGGTGCATTTGAGGAAATGTTTGGCATGGGAATTGAAATTAAACCCATTGTTTACAGTGCTCAGCATAAGTAACACCCCTTTTGAAAAGTAAGATTTTAGTCTCAATGAACACAGGAATTTTCAAAATTTTGACACAACTGAGCTGCATATAACATTTGTTTAGCTCATTACATGAAAGTAAGTTTAATAATATAATGTAGATTACAAAATCTTCAGTTTTACTAAAATTAGTTGCTGCAAGAATGAATACACCCCACAGCACGATGACCAAGGGCACAGAGTGATTAAATTTTCATTATCACTTTTGCTACAGTATTCTGACTGAGAAGTAAAGCTTTGCTAATCTTCTTGTGTGTGTATATATACATACAGACAGACCCCACAGAAGGACACTGCCACCACTATGTTTCACTGTGGGCACCATGCGTTTTTCTTTGTTGTACTCACATTTGCGACGCAATGCAGTTTTGAAGCCATCAGTTCCAAAAACATTTATCGTGGTCTCATCACCCCAGAGTACAGAGTCCCAGTAGTCTTCTTCTTTTTCAGCATGGGCCCCGGCAAATTCTAGGTTGGCTTTTTTGTGCATAGACTTTAGGAGAGGCTTCTTTCATGGATGACACCCATGCATTCTTCTGCAGTGTACGCCATATTGTGTCACGGGAAACACTCACACTTGTTTGGCTTTCTACTTCTTTAGCTAACTGCAGTGAACTTGCTTGGCACTTTTCTTCAACCCTTATCAGAAGACGCTCCTGTCGAGGTGTTAACGTCCATGGACGGCCTGGACGTCTCTGGGAGATGGTTGCAGTTCCATCTTTGTTAAATTTTCATTATCACTTTTGCTACAGTATTCTGACTGAGAAGTAAAGCTTTGCTAATCTTCTTGTGTGTGTATATATACATACAGACAGACATACACACACCAATCAGCCATAACATTATGACCATCTGCCTAGTACTGTTTACATAGGAGTCAATGTGGCAGTTGGATGACACTCGTGTCACTCTGCACTGCATCTTCTCTGGATCCATTTTCCTCCACAGTTATACTGTCAGGAACACAGATCCATCCATCCATCTATCCATTTTCCTCCGCTTATCCAGGACCGGGTCGCGGGGGCAGCAGTCTAAGCAAAGACGCCCAGACTTCCCTCTCTCCAGACACTTCCTCCAGCTCCTCCGGGGGAATG